GCTTATTATACTATATACTCATTAGCTTTTAATGTTTTACTTTCAACTTGCTTATTATACTATATACTCATTAGCTTCCATGTTTCTTGGAAGTTGAGACAGTTCACTATTGAATACGTATTTGTTTGAGATGGGTCCATTGTTTGTATAAGTAGTGTAATCTAAGATTTCTCACTTTTTGGTTACATTAACATACTAAAGATCGGGGGCTTTCTGGCATAGCTTTTCGAAGCTCACGTGATTAATTGTTATTTTTAATGTAATTAAGCATTTAATTTATATAACTCTTAAGAGATACCTGCTAAAAGTAGATTCAGTTAATGATAAATAAATAACACAATATTTCTACATAAAATGATATTTCAGAAAAGCAGACATTTAGAGGTTTTTCTTTAAATAACGTTATTAATGGTCTTGATTGATAAGCTGTCACAAATGTAAAGAACTTAACATTTTCTAGCAAGTTCACTCTTTATTTCATAATGATAATTACTGAGATATATTTTATTCTCTAGCTTTTAACGATTTAAGGTTTCACCTCAACAAATTTACTTCCAATATAAATGAAAATAAAAGCAAACGTTTCACACGACAAAAATCATTATTTACTATTTTTTTAAAGCCGTTTAGATTTACAAATATTTGGTCATAAAAAAAATGGGAAGAGTATGTATGTGTTTGATCATTGTCAATAGCAGATGGGCCAGAAGTATTGAACAACGATTTTGTGTACTCCTATCCTTTTACCTCATTTAAAATTCTAAAGACTCAAAGGCCTAGTTTTTCTGCTTTGAGAGCAGATTTTTGTATTCCTGTAGTCGAGGCAATGTGTCACATGGCTGTCCCTATATGAAGATGTAGACTGTAGAAGTGTTATCAGAACTCTCTCGCTATCCATTATGTGCCACATTACTTCTCTTCGAAGAGTGTTTAGATGGCAGACTGTTACGTGAATGAAATATCTTTCCATCGAAAAAGAAATAAAGGTTTAACAAAAACGATTTTATTCTCTGATTATATATAAAATAGCAATCGAAGTAAGTTCGTATATAAAAAACACACACACACACACATATAATGTGTATTTTTTTACATTCCTTATAATGGATTTTCTGTATTATATCCTCTGAAAAAAAGTCATGAAAGATGAAAAATTTGCTAAAAAGGGACGAAAGTGCTAAGCATGTAAATTTCGATTATACAGAAAGTTTTGAATAGCTATTTCATATATTAGTTTCTTTTCACATAAACTGAAAAAAGGTTATATTGGTATATACGCTGCATAACTTATAATAAAATATTTGTTTAGTATTTTTAAAATATTGTTCACTTTTATATTAGTCACGTCATAAATCATGAAAGCTAGCTCAATAAACAATAAAAACACCACTCTGTATTACAGCCTTCGTTTATTTAATTCTTTATTATTTTTAAATATTTCAGTAAGTTTTAAGGCTAGTTGGCTATAATTGAGATATTTGAATAAGTTTTGAAGCTAGTTGGCTATACTTGAGATATTTGAATAAGTTTTGAAGCTAGTTGGTTATACTTGAGATATTTGAATAAGTTTTGAAGCTAGTTGGCTATAATTGAGATATTTGGATAGGTTTTGAAGCTAGTTAGCTTTAATTGAGATATTTGAGTAAGTTGTAAATCTAGTTGACTATGACTCAATTATTTAAATATGTTTTGAAGCTAGTTGGCTATGATTCAGTTATTTAAATAAGTTTTGAAGCTAGTTGGCTATGGTTCAGTTATTTGAGTAAATTTTGAAGTTAGTTAGATATGATTCGGTTATTTGAGTAAGTTTTGAAGATAGTTAAGTATGATTCAGGTATTTGGGTAAGTTTTGAAGATAGTTAAGTATGATTCAGGTATTTGGGTAAGTTTTGAAGCTAGTTAAGTATGATTCAGGTATTTGGGTAAGTTTTGAAGCTAGTTAGGTATGATTCAGGTATTTGAGTAAGTTTTGAAGCTAGTTAGGTATGATTCAGGTATTTGAGTAAATTTTGATTTTCGGTGTGTTTGAGTTTAGTTTTTTATCTGTTATCGCTGTGTTTATAAAGATATAATAAACGGTAAGATTTTTATTCTATTTTTAATATAAATTAGGTTATATCACGAGATATATCACATTATGTAATTACATTAGCAAATTAAATTATCAGTAGGTTTTACGCTTTCATAAAGGATTATTATCAATTAATACACAAAATCTGCTGTTGTGTTCTGTTCCGTAATGAAATAAAATAATTTAAAGAAATCCACGCATGTATAGCTTTTCTTTTTGAAATAATCCAACACAAAATTCAGACGACAAAACCTAAGAATGTTAACGTCTGTGCAAGAAGTTGATACTCTAGATGTCAAGTGATAGTTGTCAATTTATTCATTTCATGCAGCCACGTGGTCGGCAAATCATTTATTAATAATCATTCCGTGTATCTTTCAGAGAAATCACATTTCCTGACATATTAGATAATTCTCAAGTTAGATCTAAAATGGAAAATAATAAAAGCTATAACTTCCTTTACTTTGTTGTAGAAATGTGAATGAAAATAACAGTTACAGAAGCCGGTTTTGTGATATGCATTTTCATTAGTTTTCCAAATAGTTGTATATACGGGGGTTAGCGGGCATGGACAATAAATCTGAAGATTCTTGGTTCGCCACAAGTTACTGCAAAAACTTTTTCCGCATTTTTGGAACCAAAGGTATGCTATGAGAATGACACTGAAATCCAACTATTAAAGTCAGACAAAAACTAGTCCAAATGTTGGCAGTTGGTGCTTCACTATATACACTGAGTGGTCACAAGTAAATAGACACCTAATTTTTCGCCATTTAACTAATTTATGCAAACTAATTTGTGTTCACAGAGCACTATATAAATGGAAATGGTCCGCACACTAATTATCTTCTGCTACAACATGCCTAGTACTCAAGGTTCTCTCGAATTGTCAGATTTTGTTAGAGGAAGGATAGTTGTTCAAGCAGATGGTTGAATAAGTCAGCGACAAATTTCGCAGAATTTGGGAATCCCGCTTTCGACAGTCAACAGAATCATCGTGCAGTTCAGGAAACACGGCAAGGAAATAACTGAGCAGCGTCCGGGTCGTTCTGGTCCATCGGAGAGA